GAAAGGCAAGTATACTCTGCTGGGGAGGGGGGCACTAAAGCAACCCCATTGCGTTGCCTTGCATGGTCATAGCAAGGGGAGGAAAGGCAAGTATACTCTGCTGGGGAGGGGGGCATTAAAGCAACCCCATTGCGTTGCCTTGCATGGTCAAAGCAAGCGGAGGAAAAGCAAGTATACTCTGCTGGGGAGGGGGGCATTAAAGCAACCCCATTGCATTGTCTTGCATGATCAAAGCAAGGGTTCATTTAAATATAACTAAAATCCTATTTGTTTCCCCCTACAATGTAAAGCACTGGAGGAAATGAGAGCATGTCAACAATCATGTTAATATTTCACTGCCGCTTAAGGTTCTAGAACCTAACCTGTAAACCATTAGCGAGAGATGTGTCGTTTCTTAACCGCTTTATCTTCCAAAAGCATCTCTCATCAATTCAATTCCCATTAGTGTACATGTTATCCTGGAACAAAGCCTTACAATATCTGCAGTGGGATGGCCTACCTGTGCAGGAATGCGGAGGAGACAGGTGACCCCCAATTTAATTAGGTCACACAGCGTGCTGAAAGATTTGCACAAATTATGAGCCCTTTCTCATAACAAAAATGCAATTCATATGCTTTTCACTTTGTAGGATCACATTTTGCATTCTCCAGGAGAGGTCAATTAAAAGGAAAACTCCGGCTACAACACATGTACAGGAACCATTTTACTTGCCAGCAGATATGTAAAATAACGTATATGCACTGATGATCTGCAACTCCTGATGTTCATAGAGATGGATGAAACCATTGTTAAGAGTCTGCAGTTCTGCCAATTATGGAACACTACACAATCCTTAGGTTAACAATAAAAAGACACATGTCCATCATGTTCAATCCCAAGACAAAAATAAATTAAAAACATTGCATGCTCAGAACCTAAACTTAAAGTTGATCCAGTGGAACCTCATAGTTCTAGCCGACCTGTGACAATGAGACTGTCACAGGTCGGCTCAGTAGATCGGGAGGTGAGCGAACACATACCAGGTTCGCTCACCTCTCGATCCTGTCACGGCTCTCTGCCGTGACAGGGGGAGGGGCTGGATTCCCCTCTCCGATCTGCCAGCGCTGACTGGCGGAACGGACGGGGGAGGGGGCGGGTACAGCTGGCTCTGCCTCTAGATAGGCAGAGCCAGCTGTCACGCAGCTGGGCGGATCCCGTCATCTACGTCGGGATCCGCTCCGGGGTCTCAGTATACCGCGAGCTGTAGCTCGCGGTATACTTAGCTTAGGGTAACGGGAGGACGCTAGTTTGTGTCCTCCCGTTACCCTAAGGAGAACTATGGGGAAAAGCCCTGACTCCATAGTTCTCCTTTAAAAGAATCCTTCACAATCCCCTAGGGTAGGGGTGCCCATTAGGTCGATCGCGATCTACCAGTCGATCACAAAGCAAACACTGGTAGATCACGATCGGCTCACTGACCAGAGCTCCCTCCGACGGAGCTAGTGCGGCTGAATGTGTCAGATGCTGCAGACGGGAAGGGACGGGACACCTCTCCCCGTCTGTAGCGATGGCCACACTATCATCAGTGTGGGGCGTCACGCCCCACCCAGTCTGTAGCGTCGGCCACATTAGCACCGCAGGAGGACAGGACAGCGCACATGAGGAAACCTGGGAAGCTGCTGCAGTGCAGGTAAGGAAAGACAGCCAGTGGAGAGAGCGTGAGAGAGAGCGTGAGAGAGAGCGTGAGAGAGAGCGTGAGAGAGGAGCGTGAGAGAGCAGAGAGAAGAAAAAAAAAAGACAGCAGAGAGAAAAAAAAAAAAAAGAGACAGCAGAGAGGGTGAGAGAGAGACAGTAGTCCCAGTAACGATTTTATTGTGCTTGTTTTCTAAATAAAAAGGTGTTTTTTCGTTGGTAAAGACAAAAAATTGTGGGCACCCCCGCCCTAGGGCAATCAGGTACTCCCTGATCAACAATCTCCCATGTTCTCCCTTATAAATATTAATGGCCAGTTATATTTTGTGCATTTCTGTAGAAACACAACCAGCCTTTTTTTTTTTTTTAGTCTAAATAGTTGGCTAAA